AATTTCTTGGTTCAACCACTGCCATATTGCACCTTTCTTATACATCAGCCAAGGATCTAGTCCCTCTTACAGCATGCTCTTCATCCTTATCATAATCTGCTTCTCAGAACAACCCTTCATTCACCTCTTCTTATCTTGATTCAGCTTGCACATCAATTCTTTTCTCTTCCCAGTTCCAAGCTGCACTTTCATCAACCTTTATATCCTTTGTGATTACAATCTTTCTTGACTCAGGGATATAAACTCTATAGCCTTTAGTGTTGCTGTTGTAACCTATAAATATCCCAACTTTAGCCTTATCATCTAACTTGGATGTCTTGCTTGTTGGAATCATGACATAGGCTATGCTTCCAAACACTTTCAAACTCCCCACAGCTGGTTTAACTCCACTCTACTCCTCAATTGGTGTTTGGTATTTGACTGCCTTAGTAGGCAGCCTATTTAGGAGAAAGACCGCAGTATTAATAGCTTCAGCCCAAAACACTTTAGGGAGATTCTTCTCAACCATCACACACCTGTCCATTTCTATAATGGTTTTGTTCCTTCTCTCATAAACACCATTCTGTTGAGGAGTGTACGGGGCTGTGAATTGATGCTGAATTCCAGCTTTATTGCAAATTGTGCTGAATTCATTTTTGATGTATTCTGTCCCATTGTCACTCCTTATAGTCTTGATCAATGTTCCAGCTTCATTCTCCACCAGCAGCTTGAATTTTTCAAACATAGCAGCCACTTCATTTTTCTGCTTCAAAAAATACACCTAGGCCATCCTTGAATAATCATCAATAAAGAGTACAAAGTACCTACTACCATTTAAAGATTCAGTATTCATAGGACCGCACACATCAATGTGGATCAAATGTAGTTTACGACTTGCTTCCCAGGCTTGATCTGAAGGGAATGATGGCTTGCTAAGTTTGCCAAGTTGGCATGCTGTGCACAAGGTCCTTTTCTCCTCTATTTCGGGCAGATCCAACACCATGTCTCTTGACTTAAGTTTTTTAATTCCTAAGTAGTGAAAGTGGCCAAGCCTTTTATGCCACAATTCTGACTCTTCAACTTTGCTGGTCAATGCTAAACTTATTGATTTTTTCCACTCTACCATGAAGCTTTTTCCCAGCATCCTAACACTCATTAATTCATTTCCCTCACAATCCTTTATAATGCAAGCATGGTTTTGAAAATGTAAAGTGTAATTCTTCTCTAACATTTGACCTACACTTAACAAATTTTGTGCAATTTCAGGTACAAATTGGACATTTGAAATAACCTTAGTACTTGCTTGAGTTTGGACTGCAACATCTCCAATCCCTTTTGCTTCCACATAGTCACCATTTCCAACTTTGACTTTGGAGCTGTAGGTTCTGTCCAGCCTAACAAAGTTCTCCAAATTTGCTGCCATGTGGTTAGTACAACCACTGTCTATTAGCTAAACATCACCGCTGGTTTGCTGAGTAGCATGAAGCTACAAACAACTGCTCAGGTTCACTGCCCAGCTGTTGGTCCTCTGCAATTTGTGCTTGCTATGATGGTTGTGCACCTTTGTTCTTACATACCTTTTTAATGTGCCCGAACTGTTTGCATCCTCTGTACTGGATCCTAGTTCTGAACCAACATCTACTCTCTGGATGTCCCTTCTTTTTGTAGTGGGAAACTGGTGGATAATTCCTTCCTCAACTCGGTTTTACCCACTGTTCACCAGTTCTCTCTTTTCCTCTCTTATCTCCAGCATACTTCCTATTGCTTCCCTGCATATTCACTCCCTTTTGGGCAGCCATCATTGCACCTTCATTGGAATCCTCTTGTCTCATCAACCTCATTTGTTCTTGAGCCTGCAGTGCATGGACCAATTTGGTGAGGCTGATTTGGGAGAGGTGAATCTTCAAGAGAAGATATCGTGGACTCAAACCTTTCGGGTAAGCTAACTAACACTTTTCAACTATCATCTTATCACTCATCTCAACTCCCAACAATCTAATCTTATTCACCACACTTATAAGTCTGTCTACATACTCTTTAACCTTCTCCATCTCCTACATTCTTAACATCTCAAACTCTCTCCGTAGGTTCATCACTTGCATATTTCTAGTTGTGTCACTTCCCATGAACTCCTCCCTCAATCTATCCCAAGCTTCCTTTGCAGTCTCACATGCCATAATCCTTGTAAACACAAGGTCTGTTACTGCAGAGTGTATATGAGAAAGGGCTCTTGGAGCTTTTGACATCTCTTTCTCATACATCCTCATCTGATTCAAAGTTGGGTTTGGACCAAGCTGCGGTGGCTGTTTCTCCTCTTCCACATACTACCACAGCCCTTGCCCTCTTAGGTAGGCTTTCATTCTAACAGCCCAGATGTGATATTGGTCCCCATTAAACACTGGAGGTGAGAGAGAAGCCGAATGAGTTGCCATGGAAGCTAGGTTGCAGTTTTTAGGAAAGTGTTGTTCTTGCAAAAGGTTGAAGTCTGATGGTGATTCGCAGGTTGATTTTTGAGTTTTTTTTATGATGGTTTTTTGTTAATCTAGCTCTGATATCATGTTGGTTTAAGCTTATATCGGATGTGCAAAGAAAAGGAGAACTGATTCAAAATTCATTAGCCAACACAAACCTGAATATAACATGCTTTTGCTTACTGTTACAACCACTGTCAATATGCTTTTTACAAAATCCCAGCTAATCCACACAAATCTAACAACTACATTACATATTGGAGACACAAGGCCTCAAATTAAGCTGAGTTTCCCTAAGCCAAATATAATACAAAAGTTGACAACCATCCTGAACTACTGCACTCAAAACAACACCATGCACGCCATTTCTGTTTACATCAAAAACACCTTCAAGCATTGGTTCCAGCAGACTGCATTTCCAGCACAGCATTCACCTTCAACAAATGTGTCTATAGTTTCTATGGTCAAAAATCCAGTTAATCATGGCCGTACAAAACATATTAATACACTGCCGGGGAGAAGAACAGATTGCTGATATTATGACTAAGCCATTGTCCAAAGCTAAGTTTGAATATCTTTAGTTTAGACTGGGTGTTTCCAGCAATGATATCAAGGAGGAGTGTTGAAAGGTGATATCATGCTGGAAATCAAGAAAGTTGGCAGAATTTTGAACTGCAGTTTTACTGCCGATTGATCTCCCTCAATTCATGCAAAAGCAGTTTTTGAGTCACTGTGTTGGATTGATTCAGTGACATGTTTAGGTGTATTAGGTTTGGTTAAGTGTAATTTCACTCATGCTTGTACGTGTACTAGTAGGTGTAGTAAGTTTAAATTTTAATTTTGAAATTTCATTAGTTGGAACAATGGCGTGTGCGTTGTATATTTTTACCCCTGTTTTTTGAATAAAAAACAGAGCATTATTGCAGTCTTACATTTCTCTTTTGTTCATCTGTTTTTCTCCTTCGTTTGCATGCAAGTTTAACTGTCACAATAAGAATTTTATTATTGGACCAAACCTTTGACATAAGAAATTATAAACCATCATAGTCAATATCAATGTCTTTGTTAATCTTAATTAGTTTTAAATCCTTCATTGAATATAGATCCTCTTCTCTGATATTTGAGTTTAGGGCCTACTTTGTCCTTAATCCACAAGACAGAAAACCGTGCTCCCTATGACATGTAAAATTTCCAAGCACATGCAAGTATGGACACAAACAAACATCAATTCCTATATAACTACCACATGCAAACCAAAGATTTGTTTGAAAATTATTAACATGATAGTATATTTCATTTATGTGTTTAACCAAATGGAGTTTTTGTTCTCTTTCTAAGATATTATGCAATAGTTATATCTCATTTTCACATAGTTTTAAGTTGCCTAAACTGTTTAAGTACAGCCCTGCCGGCATAAGAAGACAAATGTATACCTAACAAGTGACTATGGCGTACCCTACTTATTTGATTCTTATCAAACACCAAACAAGATCACAAGTCCCTTCCATCTCTTGGCTTCGATGATCTCATGGTGGTACATCCTATCAACCCAACACAAAGAAACAATATTGTTATGGTGCTATCTTTCCTCATCTATATATAAGAGCAAATTGCTATTGCCTTCTGCATGCACAGCCTTACCAAGAAATATCTTCTTTAAAACTTCTAAACCTAGTTGTTCAAAATATACCATCTACAATAATGATTAACTCAAAGAGGCTCATCGAATTAGCCAGAAATGGAAAAAAATGGCTGCAATGAAGAGCGGGAGAAACCAACTTCCAAAAAGTGATGCTGGCTAGTCCTTATCAATTGCTAATAAAGGCCATTTTGTTATGTATACAACTGATGATATACGGTTCTCAATTCCCTTGGAATTCTCAGAAAAGCGTCTTTAGTGAGCTCTTAAGAATGTCCGATGAGGAATTTGGACTTCCTCCCAATGGACTAATCAAATTGACTTGTGATAGTACCTTGTTGGAGTATGTCATGTCATTGCTCAGAGGACAAATAGCAGAGAGTTTAGAGAAGGCTTTGCTAACTTCCCTGGCGACATATCATTGCTCAGCATTGGCTTCTCTTGCTCTAGGACATGTTGAAGTAAATGATATTTTGTTGGAAATCATTTTGCATGTTGGTTTGAAAGTTTGGTGATAGTTTTTTAACTAAAAGGGGTTGTCTGTCAAGTGCAGTTCCTGTCCATTTTGGAAGTGTATTTGTGTGATGTTTTAGGTGAAGACAGCAGGTGATTAAGCCACAAAATCTCAATGAAATTTGTGTTTGTTAAGGGTGGTTCAAATTGTAGTATATTTAAAGATTATTTATACTGAGAAGTAGTTGTAACAGTGATGTATTAGGTCCATATATCTCTCAGTTTGTGAATGAAAAATACAGCCTATTTTGCATCAGTTTTACTCTTCTTTTTTAGCTCTCTCTCATGCATGAAAATCCTTCTTTCTCTTAGTTTTTGAATCAAGAAAAACCTACAATTGGTATTAGAGCTTCTTTGATCTTATAGGACCTGAATACTAATGCAAGAAAAGCTTCTCCATGGCATCCAGTTCTGCTCCAATCTCTGTTCTAGTTTTCAATGGTGATCAGTACCATGTTTGGGCTGTCAAGATGAAAACATACCTGAGGGGCCATGGTTTGTGGCAATATGTTGAAGAGGAGAAGCAAGTTCCCCAACTTGGACCAAACCTGACGCTGAACCAAATGACGGTTCATGAAGAAGAAGCAGCCAAAGCCCTAAGAGCACTGTCTTGTATACATTCAGTCGTGACAGATCAGGTCTTCTCCAGGATCATGGCGTGTGAGACCCCTAAAGAAGCTTGGGACACTCTCAAGGAGGAGTTTGGAGGGAGTAACCAGACAAGAAATATGCAAGTTCTAAACTTGAGAAGGGAATTTGAAGTGCTCAAGATGCAGGAGACAGAATCTGTCAAGGAATATGTGGACAAACTTATGATAGTGGTGAACAAAATAAAACTGCTAGGGGAAGAAGTAACCAACCAGAGGGCAGTGGAGAAGGTCCTGGTCAGCTTACCTGAAGGTTTGAAGCAAAAATTTCGTCCCTAGAAGACTCTAAAGATCTGCCCCGAATCAGCTTGGCTGAACTAGTTCATTCACTTCAAGCCCAAGAACAAAGGAGGCAATTGACGCAAGAAGACCCAACTGAGGTAGCCATGTTTGTAGGACAGAAAGGAAGAGTACAAGGAAGGGAAGACAAGAAATACGGTGGTGAAAAGAAAGGAAAAGAGAAGAGCAATAATCAAGGAGGGAAACGTGGTGGACCAAGATTATTTCCTCCATGTGTACACTGCAAAAAGAAGAACCATCCAGAACATAAGTGTTGGTTTAGACATGGCATACAATGCAGGTCATGCAAGCAGTATGGACACATAGAAAAAGTGTGTAAAAGCAAAGGAAATCAGCAAGAGCAGCAGGCTGCAATGGTGGAGGTCCAGTAACAAAATTCAGAAACAGAACAGCTCTTTATGGCTTCATGCATAAACCACAACATGTCTGATGATGTATGGCTGATTGACAGTGGTTGTACAAACCACATGACTCTAAATCTGTCAAATTTTGTGAGTATTGATAAGCATTTTCACTCCAAAGTCAAGATTGGCAATGGAGAATTTGTGGAAGTCAAAGGAAGAGGTAAGGTTGTTGTCCCAACTCCATTAGGCACTAACTATATTTCAAATGTCCTTTATGTACCCGAAATTAACCAAAACCTGCTGAGTGTGGGTCAAATGCTAGAAAAGAACTACTCCTTGCACTTTCAAAACATGTCTTGCATTGTAGTAGATAACTTAGGAAATGAGTTAATGAATGTAAGAATGCTTGGGAAAAGTTTTCCAATAGAATGGAAAAATTCTACTTTACATGCCTTGTCTGCAAAATGTGTTGAAACTGAAGTTTGGCACAAAAGACTTGGGCATTTCCATTATTCAGGTATTAAAGAAATGGGAAGGAGACAACTTGTTCAAAACATGCCCGAAATTGAGGAGAAGGAAGGGGTGTGTCAAGTTTGCCAACTGGGGAAAATCAGTAGGCAACCATTTCCAGCAAATCAATCATGGAGAGCTGTTGAAAAGCTTCAGCTCATACACATAGATGTGTGTGGTCCCATGCAGGTTCTTTCTCTGAATGGTAGTAGGTATTTTCTGCTATTTATAAACGACTTCACTAGGCTGTGCTAGGTTTACTTCTTGAAACAAAAAGGTGAGGTGGCTGCAATGTTTAAGGGGTTTAAGCAAATGGTGGAGAATGAAACAGGTTTAAGTTTGAAAACCATCCGGAGTGACAATGGTTTAGAGTATACCTCAAACCAGTTTCAAGAACTTTGTGTAGGGTCCAGAATAAAGCACCAGCTGAGCACTTTTTACACACCATAACAAAATGGCGTGAGTGAAAGAAAAAACAGAACCGTAATGGAAATGGCAAGATGTATGTTGTTTGAAAGAAAGCTGCCAAAATTTTTCTAGGCTGAAGTTGTAAATACAGCAGTCTACCTTCTCAACAGGCTGCCAACTAAAGCCTTGGATAACAAAACACCATTTGAGGCTTGGTATGGAGTAAAGCCAAGCATCAACCACCTCAAAGTATTTGGGAGCATTTGTTATGCTCATATTCCAGCCAACAAGAGGAGTAAGTTGGATGAGAAGGTTGAAACTGGAATTTTTGTTAGGTATAGCAGCGTGTCCAAAGCATATAGGATTTACAATCCTAAGACCAAAAAATTCCTAGTTAACCGAGATGTAAAAGTAGATGAAGATGGGTTGTGGAACTGGGACAGAAATGAAATTGAAGGGAGTAGTATGCAGGAACAAGAAGGAGACTTAACAACTAATCAGGATGCTTCAGAATTCAGTTTTGATTCTGAAATTGATCCTCCAGTTAGGGGAACTAGACCTTTGGCCGAAATTTATGACAGATGCAACTTGGCCTTGATGGAACCAACTTGTTATGCTGAAGCAGTCAAAGTTGAAGAGTGGAGGACAGCAATGGAAGAAGAACTTGACATGATTGAGAAGAATGCAACCTGGGAAGGTGACCAGACCTGCCGGAAGAAAGATCATTCGGGTGAAATGGATTTATAAGAAGAAAATGAATTCTGATGGTTCAATGAGCATCCATATTCTGGAGCTCAACGTGGACGTAGCTTGTTCAATCTTGAACAAGTGAACCACTATAAAAAGATAGTGTGTTGTTATTCTTGCTTTGATTTGTGGTTGTTTATTAGTATTAAGGTTTGATTTGGTAGACTCCATTTACAACAGTTTTGTATCACATTAAGTCCCTGCACTAGGGTAGCAATACTAATGGGACTGTCTCTAGACTTGCAACGATATAAACAACCCCATTTCGATAGACTTCCATCCAGGATTTATAGCATTTTAGTGCTTCAGTATCCTATATTCATTCTCACATTCATTTCAAAATCTTTTTTTTTTTTTTTCTAATAACAAGAAACAACATGATTAGTCCAAAGAAGCTAATCAAAATGACAAAGAAGTGGAAGAAAGTGGTTGCTAGTAAGCGGAAAAGAATCTTATTGCCAAAAGCATAGGGGCGGTTGATTCAGAAAGTTGTAGCATATCATCAGTAGCTGAGAAGGGTCATTTTGTTGTGTACATGGCTTACTAGAGGCGCTTTGTGATACCCTTAAAATATCTTAAAAATGATATTATTAGAGAGCTCTTTACAATGGTAGAAGATGTGTAACACCCCACTTGAGGTACGTAGTTAAGATTTGATGAATGGCTTGAATGTTTATCGATTTATCCTCATTTGAGTCTGTATGTTGTTAATATTGTTTGGTTTATCCTTGGATAAAAAGGTGTCTTGGTTTGGTTGAGTGTTTTCCTTGAAAATTTGTAAGACTTGGCGAAATACTAAGGTTATAGTCTTCGCCGAGGCGAAGAAGAATCTTCGCCGCGGCGATAAGGAGGTGCTACAACCTGTGTAGCTTCTGTGAGCTTTCGCCGGGGCGAAGAAAATAGCTTCGCCGCGGCAAAGACTCGGCTGAATGTTCCCCTTGAGTTTTTGAGAATTCTTCCTTTTGAGACTCAATGACCATTCTACCCCTTTTTAGCAGGAAAAGTGGAAAGTGAAATGTAAGGAAATTGCATGGAGAATAGTTTGATTGGGGTTGTGTTTGCAAAGAATGAAAGGTCTTAGATGGAATTTCAAAGAAAGAGTAAGGTTATTTTGGGAAAGAGTGGAGAAAATATGAGATATTAAGGGTTTAGCTTTGGAAACCCTTTCATTTGCTTCTTCACCACCGCCTCTTTCATCCTTTATTTCTCTCAATTTTCATTCAAGTTTCCAAGGATCTTTGAAGAGCTTTTGACTAGAAATTGTTACAAGTTGATCCTAAGCACTAAAAGGTGAGAACCCTTACTCTAGAAGTAATTTTTATTGTTGAAAGAGTAGGATCCTTATAAAGTTTTGTATTGAAGGGTTAAGAGAAAGTATCAAGCCATCAAGAGTAGAGAGATTAAGTGGTTTCTACTTGTGTCCAAGGTAAGTAAATTCACCTAAGTTGTGATTTACTTGATTGAATGATGTGTAGAGATTTTTAGATATGTGCTTGATGCTTGAATTTCTATGTTTGAAATGAGTTGATGAATACAATGTTGTTATATGAAAGAATTTCCACCATGAGAAGGGTGGCTTGTGTTGGTAAAGTTGGGTAGAAGTGTGGATAGAATTAGAAGAATTTGAGAGGAATATTTGAAGTATGTTTTCCCTTGCAGGTTGTATGATGTTTTAAAGGAGTTGAACTCCTATTTTGGATGATTAAGAAAGAAGTATAATTAAAGTTAGAATAGAGTTTATGTATGCACACATATTGTTTGATGAAATGTCTAAAAGAAGCATGAGTAGAAGTAGAGAACCTTACTTTATGCAACATAGCATATTAGCATGTCATGAATGCATATAAGAAAGATTTTAGGCATGAGCCATCCATATGCATATGTTTAATTGAGTAATCACATGAGAAATGAGAAAGAAACACTCTATGAATAGAGATAAAGAAAAGAACCAATTCTCTTAGAGTAAAGAGAAAGAAAGAACTAGCACTAGAGGATAAAATGATTATTAAGTGCTACAGAAAAGAAAAGAAAATAGGTTGTACGATGGGGAACTCGTGAGTGTAGAGTTACCCTCATGTAAACCGTTATGAGAAAGAACGGTCTCCACCATGAGAGAGCGGAATGCATGTGAACCGTTATGAGAAAGAACGGTCTCCGCCATGAGAGAGCGGAATGCATGTAAACCGCTATGAGAGAGAGCGGTCCTCGCCATGAGAAAGCGGAATGAGATTGAGAAAAAGAAAAGAATAGAAAGAAAAGAAAGAAAGAAAATGAGATTTTTGAAATTGATGAGTAATGCACGGGGATGATAGAGTAAGAGAATTTTTACTTACTGGGCATCTTTGTGCTCGCTCCGTGTTTTCCTTGTTGTACAGGACATAGGTGAGGACTTGGTCGGAGGGACGTCGACAAGCGGGGAGACTTGGCTGCATTGTCCACTGTTTTCGTTTTTGAGAGTCTTTTGTACAAATGATGGTGTACTTTGTAAAGAATGTAATTATTAAGTAAAGAAAAATTTTTGGACCCAACTGTTTTGATAATTATGCTGTCTTTTTATTAATCTATATTATGAATATGGTAGAAGAAAGTAGTTGTTACAAGATGAGTTTGGGCTGCCCAGCGGCAGACCTATAACATTGCCTTGTGATGCAATTTTCATGGAGTATGTAGTCTCGTTGATCCAAAGCCATGCGACAAAAGATGTTGAGAAGGCGTTGCTCATGTCTTTAGCTACTGGTCTCTGTTTACCATCTTCTCATCTCCATCAAGAGGAAAGTAACCAACCATCACTAATTTGCAGCTTCTAAAGCCAACTATAGTTGGATATTTGTAAATAGTTTACAACACACTATAGCAGGATAGTTGACACATTAATATAAAGTTGATAAAAAGTTCCTCCACTATAATTTATTCCTGATATTTACTGAATTTCATTTTTTTTATTTATTTTTTTTTTATGAACAAATATTA